GAGGGCGTAGGGAACGGCCAGGATTAACCTGGTCCAAATGTATGGAAGGAGTCTGTTCCACACTGCCGCTGTTTTCTGCCGAAGCTCAGACTCCGACACAGCATAGGGAACGTTGGAGGATGGTACTCTATTATCAGAAATTGGTTTCTTTGTGAAAATTATATAAAAGCATTATTTGTTTTAAGATACTTTGAATGATATTACATTAGGACATCTGTCACGGAAATGATTCGAATGGTAGTTATTCTGTAACTACAGCAGGCTATTATACATATATTGTTATATAATGTTTTTACATGAATATCTGTTGTTACAAATATCTGTCGACCACCAGTTCCGATGCAACGAAAACTGTCTCGAGATATCTATATGCTGGTACTTAGGTCTGCTTTTGTAGTAGTGGTAGCAGTAGTACTAGTAGTAGTAGTGGTAACGGTAGTATTACCAGTAGTAGTAGTATTATGAGCAGTTAGGCGGCAGATACCCGGAAGTATTGTTCTTTGTTGCCTGTTGTACATCAGTATTTTTGCTCCCTCTTTGTTAGAATGTCTACTCGCATTCTGCTTTTGATTCTTATTATGGTGCTTTTACAGCAGTTATGGGTAATGATTAACTGTAGTCTTATTGATATCATGCCAGTTTTTTACAGTTGTAATGAAGAGCATATTCAGTATGTTGTCTTTATTGATATTGAAGCGCTCTTTGCGTGCTGAAAGCATTACACAACAGGTTTATTAGGCCATAAAGTTGTAGTGCGTATTTTTCTAATATCTCATATGTTTTCCTCCTAAAACCACTCATTTAAAGAATACGTTTTAGTTACAAGAAGACGACAAGATTCCGCCGCAACATCAAGAATTCATTACAGCAACTTATCCTCGAACAGTTGTGAGAAACTTAATGCCCTACATGTCATGAATTTACTTGAAATCTTAGTATATTAAAAATTCCTGTTTTGTTGGTACCAGGTTTTGACTGGAGTTTTAAGCCCTCGCCAGTCAGGTAATGCAATTTAACTCACCGATATTCCTTTACTTTTATGAGTAAAGGTCAGCAGTATGATCGTATGTCAACCTTAATTATGATCAAAAATCGACAGGTACCAGCGAAATTGCCATTTGTTCCCCAACATGAGTTCTGAACCTTTTACTCTCTTTTGTAGGCTAGTCCATGTCTTCGATATTTATAGTTCACATTTCCGATTCCTAACATTTTGCTAAGAATGAATCAAGAATGCTTCTAATGAGATCCTTTCGAAGATGTTTGATGCCATCGCTGACGATCTTGTTTCCACTAGGTGGATTTAGTGTCCAGTTGCTATATGATGATGGACCTTGCAGGAATCCTGTCTTTTGTCTATGTTTGTAGTGATTTTAGCTTTCCTTTGGACTTGAAGGCTTTCCTTTGAACTTTAGTGTTTGTTAAGTTCTCCAAATCCGCCTGATAATTTTTCCATCATTCGATTTTGCTCTGAAAAAAGTCTGGAAGACAGATTTAAGTCGCATTTGGATTTGAACGCGGTAGAGTGAAAAATGGAATGATTTTTTTTGTACTTTATTGTTCCCATAGCTACCTGTTATACTGCCTTTATTCCATCAGATCGAAATCAAATTCGAGAAAGAAACATTCATAGCGCAATTGTTCGTAAAATTTTAATTATCGCTGGTTTGCAAATTTTTTTTACATTACCTAGTGTTCGAAAATGATGCCTATCGTATTTTAACCTACTTTGTTGTTAACTAGTTAG